GATGCTGCTTGGCCTGCTGTGTTCATCCAGCTCTACACCTTGTTATCTCAGATTCTCCAGCATCTGCAGTTCCTACTATCTCTGCTGTCACAGAAAATTAGTTTTGAGGAGGAGTTAGATTTGATGCGGCTTGTTAGGTTGCAATCGTAACGGATGCTCTGATAGAAAGTTCACATCTACTTAAAAGCAGAATTCTGATGCCAATTCCCGTGACAAGATGTGCACAATTATCCCAGTAAGGAAGCATACCCTGAATATTCAGAGATACTGCCTCCCCGCCACCTGTCTCTGCTGTCCTGGATGACACTTTCAGTTGTTTCTTTGCAGAATACAGACATGAGAGGCCATATTTTCAGAACAAGGCAGGTAGCCTGAGTCAAGAAATTATCAAACTTAGCAGACCCCCTGCTGACCTCTTGGCTTAATAGAAGACTTTACACCCAGATTTCATTCCAAGGAGATGGTGTCAGACATGCTAACCCCAGAAGCAAGTCTGAGGTGATCTTTGGGGGGTTGGGGCGGGAGGCACATTCTGAGGCAGACTGGTTAGAAGGCCTGTCTCAGTTCTCTGGGACTTGGTCGTGGTTGTTTTAGGAGCTATTAGGTCCTGTAGTCCTCAGCTTCATAGTCCTTCATCCCTCCACTCCATGACTAACCCACACCTCAAACCATCTCAGAAAGCACAAGAGAACCATAGGGTTGCAAAGGAATAGTGAAAGACAGGCAGAAACAGGTCTTGCCCAATTTTCCCACCATAATTATTATCTTGTCCCACTTATATATCAAAATGGGGAGGGGATTCACATCTCGAAATATGCAACATAACAGGTAAGATCATTGCTTTAAACATGAAATGGGAGGTAGAATGATTTCTAACAAGTGGAAAGGGAATATTGCTTTTATTCAGAAACAGCCAATTGTACACAGACTGCTTGTGATGAAAGGAATCAGCTTTGCACAATAACCCATGTCTCACCAAATGCCTGAAAATTCAATTTTCCGTGACAACCTACACTCTACAAATCAATCTCATCTCACAGGGGACCCCTATCAAATTATTACATTCCGACTGGTGGAAGGAGAACGTTCCTTTGGCAAATTCAACCACCAAGACACAAATAAAAGACTGCTGATGCACTCCATACAGGAATGGGTTAATTTTTTTAAAAGACCAATCATCACAGATGAGCTGGGTATTCTGGGTATTAACAAGCTCCAGGAGCTGCAGCAATGTTTGCTAGTGAGGGTCGGAATTCTCATGTTAAAAACGTCATCCATTACAACCACGATGCAACCCTGTCAGTGTACTCCCTCTAGGGGCTTTTAGACAAGTTGGTAAATTGCTGTTTAAAACTAATTTTCAGCCACTGAAATTCCCTAGACAACAATCTTCAGGCAGTCTTCAAAGTAAAGGTAACTGAAACATTTAGAGCTTTAAAAAGCATACTGATGTAAACTAGTTATGATAGCTAGGCTAGCGGAAGTCAAGGTTAAAAAAAAATCAAGAAACAGGAAGTAGAAAATGGGGATGGGAAAAGGGGACAATAGGACTAAAACCATCAGTGTTATTTTTAATTCAATATAAAACTGGGATTCCTTACAACTGAGAGTTTTATATTGCAATATTTGTTTCAACAGTACAGAGTGTGAATTGAAACCAAAATAAAAGATACACTGGTTAGCCCAGAGCAAGAGTTTTCACCAAACCTACAATAAGTGTAAGGATCATATTACTTAAAAGCTGTTTGCAAGGTAGCCAAATGTGTTTTATTTTCTCTTTTTACAGAGGTCAGTACCAGCTGAAAGGACTGACATACATATATATTCAAAATGCTATTTGCATTTTCCATAAAACACACTGAAATGGCAAGGAGTCATGACTAATAGATAACAGAGCTAATACCATCCAGGACATTGAAAGATGCACATTGGTTTTGTATCAGCGTATTTATACAGTTGCCACCTTTGGACCCTGATGTTTATAGGTTCATGGTGCAGTTGTGATGAAGTTAATGAAACCTGGAAATCCTGGGAATACAAATTTAATGACACTATCATTTCTTATCCCATTTCCGTCCCAGCAAGTGGGCAGATTGACGACTAACTGTAGAGAGGGAAACAGAGTCAAAAGGTCACAACCTGAGGGTATGCAATGGTAAGAGAGAAAGATCAAGAACTGGTGGAGGGATAGGAGAGCATCAGAGTCCAACAATCAGGTGGGAGAGAAAAGTCAGGGGTTGTGAGAGAGGGAGTGGAGCAGACAGCTCGAGATAAGGGGCTAGCTGATTAGGACAGTGAGGAGAGGCCACAAATGACAGAAGGTTTGCTGAAGGGGTTGGAGGGAACTCCATGTTTTTGTAAAATAGATGGGAAGAGGGGGAAGGCCTTTTTAAACAGCCTGCCTTCACACCCTGCACTCCCCGTGACTGCCACTGCACTGTTTCCAGGGGCAACGGACCTTACTCCTGTTAATACCTGCCCCCCAACTCATCCCTAGAATGAAAATCAGAGCATCCAAGTCCTTCATTTTCTCCTGAATCAGGTTCATAGAGTCAGGATCAACTTCTGCACCCCTGGCACAGAGTGAAAATTCAGCCCACGTTTTTGATTCCAAAGTCTAAATCGCTAATATAAGCTGGGAACAGCAGTCGTCCCAGTATTGATCCGTATGGCATCCATTTCTGGCCCTCTGTCACTCTGGCTAACTACCCTTAATCTCTACTCTGTTTTCTGTGCTTTACACCAGGCTTCTATCCATTCTATAACTTGTCCCCTGACTCCATATGCTTTGAACATATTCATTAGTCTATTATGTGGGACCTATTGAAGGACTTATTGGAATCTAGATTTATTAAATCTATTATTATCTATTAAATCTATCTACCCTTGTCTATTCTCTCTACTACTTCTTCCAAGAATTTAGTGACATTGGTCTAACAAGACTTGAAATCCATGTTCGATTTATGGAGTGTGCTTTTAGTTTCTAGATCTATTATTAATCTTCTCATTTAGTAAGGACTTCATAATGGTCTCCAATTCTTCAGGCTCCTTCTATCCCCCTTCTTAAATACGGGCATAACATTATGCATCCACCATTTTATAAATTATTTATTAAATATGCCTCTGACATCTCTTCCAGGCCAGGGGTTGATCAACTTTAAGGTTGAATCGTTTATTTAATATTTCTCTTCCTATTATTTAAAATACATTGGATGAAGGTGAGATCAAGCATTATTGAGGCCCTGCATGTGATCAATTAATTTCCTAACATCCACACAAAGTATGTCCATTTGGCCATTGTAACAGAAAGGCAAGCTAGCCCTGGGAAACTCGGTGTGTATCCGGAAGGCAGTGGAGAAAATTACAAAATGAAGAAAATGACAGGGCCATTCCTCAATCACACGTTAGCTTTTTTTGATAATGCTAGCAGAGGAATCAATGTGGAAAAACACTCTATTCTCATTTCAGAAATACCACAAGACCTCTTCTGTTTATAACAATAGGCAAAATGGGATTTTGGTTAATGTGCCATTCAAAAAACAAACATACCTATGACAGTGCAGCACTCTATCAGTACCCAATACAGAAGTGTCATTCTGGATTATATGATCAAATCTGGAATGTATCACAAATTTTTTTCATGGATTTACCCTCTTGAAAGGATTTAACTTGAGTAGATATGACACTCATTAACTCTCCATTTTACCCGAATTAGAACTTTTTTTTTAAAACATAAAATGAATCTATTTCATTTTCCCCTCCGAGTATGCTTCTAGTTAGCAAAAGAGATTTGAAATCCATTTTTTGATACAGTACAATCAAATGAATGCCAAGTTTGGGAAAATGCATTTCAGAACTTCAATTGTCCACATGAACAAAAATTGCTAATTAGTGCTTTATTCAAAATGACCACAATGCCACCACTTCTACAGCAGCTTGCATGTAACTTACGGAATGAAGAATTTTGGAATCCAAGCGCTTGGCTTGATTTTGTAGGAACGCTCAGCTCAGCACTGTTGTCTGCATGCTTATCCAAACGGCATGAGAAATGGAAGCTGATGGTGCCTGATTCCACCTGCTTTACCTGAAAATAAAAGAATGGCTTTCTGAAAGCTTTCATTGAAGAAGAAATTTTATTGGCTATAACCATTCACTGGCTGAAACGAACAAGAATAGAAATTGCTGGAGAAACAAGAGAGAACATCTCTCCACAGATGCTGCCAGACCTGTTGAGTTTCTCCAGCAATTTCTGTTTCTGTTTGATTCAGATCTCCAGCATCCGCAGTTCTTCATTTTCTTGAATGGTACCCTGAATCTTGGCTGCACAAGTAAGGTGTTTGAAAAATTTTAATCACACAAAAATATGCACAACACACAGCAATGTCCATATGTTAAAAGGTCTGGTGCATTCTTATTTTAAACAGGGCTGCCCAAATTGTGGGCCGTGAGATAAGATTTTTGGTTCACAAGCTGCGAGGGCAGCAATGGCTGCTGTAGAGTTTGGACTGAGCGCTAACAGGTGAAAGACCCGTTTAAAGTCTCATGACTATTTCCTGATGATAGGCATGGCCAATGGACTGACATGTGAGTCCTAATTGCTGCCATAAATAAATTGCCCATGAGAAGGACTTTTTCAAAGAAAAGCAACCCTGCAGTTTAAACACCTCATAGCTCTCTACAACTTGCCTTCCACCTTGCAGCCCATCCACCACTCAACTGATGAAGGCTAATTCCACCCTACAACTTTCAATCCGTCAAGCCTTCACTCTGGGGTCATTTCGGAGGCATTAAATTGGGGTCACACCAAGATTGATCCTGGGAAATGTAGCTTTACAAAGACACAGGAAACCTGTTAAAAATGCCCCACTAGCCCCACCACCTTTCCCTGCAACCGCAAGAGGTGCTACACCTGCCCCTACACCTCCCCCCTCACCTCCATCCCAGGCTCCAAGAAAACCTTCCACAGTAAACAGATGTTCACGTGCACATCCGCTAATGTGGTATATTGTATCCACTGTTTCCAATGTGGCCTCCTCTACATCGGGGAAACCAAACGGAGGCTCGGAGACCGCTTTGTGGAGCGCCTATGCTCGGTTCGTGACAAAAAACACCGTCGTGAACCACTTCAACGCCCCCCTGCCACTCCTTGGATGACATGTCCATCCTGGGCCTCCTCCAGTGTCACAACAATGCCACCCAAAAACTGGAGGAACAGCACCTCATATTCCGCCTTGGAACCCTACAACCCAATGGTCTCAATGTGGACTTTATGAGCTTCAAAATCTCCCCACCCCCGAACTCATCCCAAGACCAGCCCACCCTCTCCTCCCCACCTCCTTGACCTGTCCGTCTTCCCTCCCACCTACCCGCCCCTCCCCCCTCACTGGCCAACACCCCCCCCACCCAACTCCCTACCTACATTCACCTTTACTAGCTTCACTCCGGCTCCTTGATCTGTCTATCTTCTCTCCACCTATCTGCTCCTCTATCCACCTTCTATCGCCGTACCTCCCCCCCCTCACTCTATTTATTTCAGAGTCCCCTTCCCCTCCCCCATTTCTGAAGAAGGGTCCAGGCCCGAAACGTCAGCTTTCATGCTCCTCTGATGCTGCTTGGCCTGCTGTGTTCATCCAGCTCTACACCTTGTTATCTGCAAAGTTGAAAGCAGCTTCTGACATGAATAAGTTGCTGACCGGGTGAAGTACTTTAAAAAAATTGTGCAAGTCAAATCTTACAACAGAAAGTCACCATTTGACTAAAAAAAAAACTTTTGCCAATGAAGAAATTACTTCACAAATTTTAACATTGAGTTTCATACACTGCAATACAAGTAGCTTGAGAACTAGTTTGCTGCTGCAGTGTATTGCTGAAATGTCTCAACATGACCGCAGTTTAAGGCCCTTTTAACTTTTTCTCCAGCTCCTCTTCACACTTTACTGAAAACAGTAACACATGCAGGGGGGCATAATATTCTGTTTCCATGCTAGAAATTCTAAGTCCAACCCATCCCTGCAGGTTTTTGCTCCACTCAATCCAACTTCCATTTTAGATATCTGCAATCTGTTAACATATCCTTCTGTTACTCTCTACTTACCTAGCTTCCTCTTAAATGCAGCTGTTATTCTCCTTTCTGTAGCAACAAGTTTTGTATTCTCAACAATCTGTTTTGACATGCTCTGTCAAAACTTCTTATTGGATTTATGGGTGAATAGCTTTCTCTTAGAGATCTCACCCTTAACCTCTCTCAACTTGTCCAGCTTACCAGGAATCTCTCATATCTAAAAGTCAAAGCACTCAAGATGTAAAAAAAAACACCATAGATCTTCGAGAAAAAAGGAAACAAAGAATAGTAAAGGCTGACAAAACAGATGGAGCACCAAAATGGAGCATGAAAAAAAAACTGGAATGGGATATTAAAATCATAACAAAAACTTTGACAATTTCTTTCGGAGAAACAGGTCAGTGGGAAGCAATGTGAGCTCTTTCAATGCTAATAATAGTGATGCCATTCACGAAATAGGAAAGTGGCAATCAAGCTGAATAATTGGTGTTAGTATTTACAGAAATCGAAAAGCATACTAGACATCACAAATAAACTCAACAATATTAGCTCATAAGCAAGAAAACAGGAATAGTAAAATTAATGGCACTGAAAAGTGACAAATCCCCAGAACCAAAGAATTTCCACCCAATTGGTTTTAAAAGAGACGGATGTGAACACGGTAGGTACCTGAACCACAATCATCTAGTTCTATCATTTCAGTAAACACTGTTTCAGGTTAGAAAATTGCAGGTCACTTCAGTAATGAAGAAAGATGGCAAAAAGAAACCAAGGAAATATACATCAGCTGACCTAACATTTGTGTTCAGGAAATTATTAGAACCTGTCATTAAGGATGAAAGTACTGAACACTTTTTCAGCTGATCGGTGGGTTAATGCATGACAGATCATATAAGTGAGCCTGACTGAATTTTTTGAAGAGGTGACTTGAGTTTTGGGCAGGGCAATGTCGATGGATGTCGCTGATGGGGACTTTTTATATTTGATAAAGTCCTTCATAACAGACTATAAACTGAAGTTAAAGCTCATGGAAGTAAAGACAAATCATTGAACTAGTTTGGGAATTGGCAGAGAGGAGGAAGACAAAGAGTGGGTATAATAGATAGGAACTCTAATTGGCAGGAAGTGATGTGTTGCACCAAAAAGATCTATGTTTGGGCTTCAGCTTTTCACTAACAACCCAGATAATGAAATAGAAAACGACATATTCAAGCTCCAATAACACAAAGAAAAATGCTGTTTTAAGCAGAGTAGATTGAAACACAAACTTACAGAGATATTGATAAATAATCGTTTGATATTACAGAACTTGAGTATTACTGAAAAAAGGCCCAATTTGTGAAAGCTTTTCATTTTGCACTCATCAGGACATTTCACAAGAAATATGAAAGTAAAGAGAAGTCAACAGAGAGAGCAGAGTGCTGGTTAGAAAGTGGACTCTGATTGGTATAGGGGTTGCAATGGAAAATGCACCAGTAGATGACGACTAATAATTAACTGCCCGGTTTTGTTTTAAACCAGGTTGACTCTGATTGGTCAAGGCATTGCCCTCAGAAATGAACCAGAGAATGGCTGTCACCTATTTTGTTGCATTGAAAGAGACATTCTGTTTGTACACGTTTTTTTCAGCCTGCAACAAACAGGCCCTGTGCATTAATATATGTGTCCCCAGGACACGCAAATTCTCACCCTTGAAGAAATTCAGTCAGCAATAGCTATGCACTGACTATACCTAACCAGGATGATGCTTGCAAAACTCAAAACACAGGGCCCAACATGTGGCATGATCCAGCGATTTTACAGCATTGGCTAAATGTTACTTGATTGCAAAGAATTATGCTGACAACCAATTTACCATTGTCTGTCAGGCCCATAGTGTAAGGGACTGTGCATACTGGAAGTTACATCTATTAATACACAGGGCCCTGTTCTTTCTATGTGGAAAGCACATGTACACATATTGTGATAGCAAAAACTGCAGATGCTGGAGTGTGAAGAAGGGTCCCGACCCGAAACGCCAGCTTTCCTGTTCCTCTGATGCTGCCTGGCCTGCTATGTTCCTCCAGCTCCCCACTTTGTTATCTCTGTACATATATTGTGCTGTTTTAACTTCACGAAAGGACGTCATTCGTTGTCTGGTTCATTTCACAGAGCAATGCTTTGACCAATCACAGTCAACCTACCTGGTTTTAAAATTTAAACAAAGCTTGTTATCAAATGCAGTTATCAATGTGTGATGCATTCTCCATGACAACAACTCCACCATTCAACACTCATTTCTCACACAACTTACATTATTCACACAGACTATCTGATAATTATCATTGCTGTTGTGGGAATTATCCCTGTACAAGTCACAACTGTGTCTTCTACATTACAACAGTCATAGGATCATAGAGGTCTACGGCACAGAAAAGGCCCTTTAGCCCATCAAGTTTACACTCATCAAAAACAAGCACCTAATTATTCTAATCCAATTTTGCAGCACTTGACCCATAGTCTTGTATGCCTTTGCATTGCTGAGTATGACTAACTACTTCATAAATGTTAGGAGGGTTTCTGCCTCTACCACCCTTACAGATAGTGAGCTCCAGATTCCTACAACCACCAGGTAAAAACATTTTTCCTGACATTCCCTCTAAACTTCCTGCCCCTTTCCCTAAATCTATGCCGTTTGGTCATCGATCCCTCCATCAAGAAGAAAGGTTTCTTCCAGTCTGCCCTATCAAAGATCCCCATAATTTTATACGTCTCAATCATGACCTCTCTTAATCTCCTCTGCTCCAAGGAAAACAACGCCAGTCTGTCCAATGTAGGAGTAAATTACCACAGATGTTGAAAACAAAAAATGCTGGAGATCACAATGGGTCAGGCAGAATCCGTGGAGACAAAGTAAGCAAACGTTTCTAGCTGAAGCTCTGATGAAGAGAGTCATCTAGACAAAACATTGGCGTGTTTTCTCTCCATGGGTGCTGCCTGACCTAGTCTATCCAGTCTCCTTCATAGCTAAAACTCTCCAGCCCAGGCAACACCTTGATAAATCCTCTCTGTACCTTTTTCAGTGCACTCACATCCCTCCTATTCCAGAATTCCAGATCTGCATCCAATGCTCTCACTGTGGCCTAACCAACATTTTATACAGCTCCAACATAACTTCCCTGCTCTTAAAACTCTATGCCTCAGCTAATAAAGGCAAGTATACCATATGCATTTTATCCACTTTTTACACATGTCCTGCTACCTTAAAGGACTGGTGGACATGCACACTCTCTGATCCTCAGGTGCTCCCTAAGGTCCTAATCATTCATGATATATTCTCTTGCCTTTCTTGCCCTGCCCAAGTGTATGACCTCACACTGATCCTGATTGACTTCCATTTGTCACTGATCAGCCCATCCAACCAGTCCATTTATATCCTCCTGTAATCTCAGGCTAGCCTCCTCACTAATTAACTTCCCACCGATTTTGCTAAGATCTGTGAACTTACTTATTATCCCTCCTATATACATTAATATAAACATTTATATAAATCAAAATAACCGTATAAATCATAAATCATTATTTAAATCATTTTATGTAAACCACAAACAAAGGCCCCAACACTGACTTCTGTGGAACGCCAATGGACACAGAATTCCAGTAATAAAAACATCCCTTGACCCCACCCGTTGCTTCCTGCCACTCAGCCAATTCAGGATATAATTTACCCACTTTCCTTGGATCTCATGGGCTCTTACCTGCACTATCAATCTGCCATGCGGGACTTTAGTAAAAGCCTTGCTGAAGTCCAAGCAGACTATTCTAAAACTTCAATCACATTAGTCAGATATGACCGTCCCAACATGCTGATTGTTCTTGATTAGTCCCAGTCTTTCCAATTAATTCTGTCCCTCAGAACTGCTTCTAAACGCTTGCACACCACTAAGGCTAGACTGACAGGTCTGTAGTTTCCTAGTTTATCCCTTGCTCCCTTCTTGAAGCATGGTACCACATTAGCTGCCCTCTGGCACCTCCCCAATGGCAAGAGAGGAACTGAAATTATTACCAGTGCCCTTGTAATTTCCTCCCCTGCCTTATTCAACACCTTGGGATACATTTCATTCAGCTCTGGATATTTATCTAGTTTTATGCCTGCTGACTAATTTTAAAAATTTTATCACAGTCCTTCTCCCTGAATTCTTTCCCACATCACTAGTGTATACTGACAGCATTCATTTAAAATTCTACCTACATCCTCTGGCTCCACACACAAATTACCACTGTGGTCCTCAACTTTTTTCCCCCATTATCCTTTTACCCATAATGCACTTGCAAAATAACTCCAGATTTTCCGTTATTTAACCTGCCATCATTCTTTCATGCCCCCTTTTTGCTGTCTTATTTTCCTTTACAAGTCTCCTTTTGCACATTCTATGCTCCTCTAGGGCTTCGGGGCCTTCATCATCTGCCATAAGCCTCCCTTTTTCTCTTTATCTAATCCTACAGAGGAAGGATATTATTAAATTGGAGAGGGCACAGAAAAGATTTACGCAGATGTTACCAGGGCCGGAGGGTTTAAGTTATATAGAGAGATGAATAGGCTGGGACATTTTTCACTGGAACGTAGGAGGTTGAGCAGTGACCTTATAAAGGCTTAAACAATTGTCAGGGGTATAGATAAGGTGAATAGCAAATGTCTTTTCCTAGGGTAGGGGAGTTCAAAACTAGAGGGCATTTTTTTAGGGTGAGAGGAGAAAGATTTAAAAGGGACCTGAGGCGCAACTTTTTCCTGCCAAGGATGGTTCACATGTTGAATAAACTGCCTGAGGAAGTGGTAGATGCAGGTACAGTTACAATATTTAAAAGACATTTGGTCAGGTACATGAAAAGGAAAGGTTTAAAGGCATTTGGGCCAAATGCAGGCAAATGGGACTAGTTCAGTTGGGAAACTTGTCGGCATGGACGAGTTGGACCAAAGGGTCTGTTTCTGTGCTGTATGACTATGAAATAAAACAAAAAGCTGTGAATGCTACAAATCTGAAACAAAAACAAAACCGAAACAGGACACTATTCTTTCACCAGACTCAAAATGTTAAATCCCTGCTTTCTCTCCACAGATTCTGCCAGAACTGCTAAGTTTCTCCAGCAATTTCTGTTTTTGTTCCTGTATATCCCTGGATTTATTGGTCCCACTCGATCTTTGTTGGTACATGTTGGCTCTGTACTACATGGCTACAGTTCAAAGCTAATTCATCAGTGCAAAACGCTTTGGGACATCCTATCTCATGAAAGGCACTACATAAATGCAAGTTAAGAAGTGGTAGCAAAGCACAGTGCCTCCCCTAGAGATGGTGAGAGCTCCAATCTTTTAACATATGGCAGGTTGTGTTGTCTAGCCTGTTCGGCATGAGTGATTACATGTTATTGATCTTGATTCACCTACCTCTTCCGAGCTCATGTCAGTGGAAGGTGTTTTATAAACCAGCAAATTACTTGGGTTGGGTGAAGGTCCACCATGAAGTGATATCGTTACATCAGAAGCATTAGATCCCAAGAATGGATTCCAAGCAGCCCAACGCAATGTTTGCATGTATGCCGCATTGTCCAATGAAGAGGTAGAAGAGGATAACTGTGAACAAAACAATTTGCTTCTTTAGGAAACACAACATGGACTTCATTAGTAACGAGTCTATGTAGCACCTTTAACAGTAGACCATTCCACAGCAGCATTATCTGTATCAGACTGAAAGCAGCGTCACCACTTTTGGAAGGTCTTTAACAACATGTTTTTCTGCTAAAAGTATGAGGGAAAGCAGAGATCACATCAAAACACTTTACTGGAAGAAGCAGTCATCAACTCTCCATATATTGAAAACAATGATCATTGGTTTCAGTGCAAAATTGTCAATTCAACAATAATAAAGCACCTTGTCTGAGATAGAGTATACATTAGGTGCTCCACTGCTACATCCTGCTCTTCAATTTCCAACCTTTACTTTCATCTTTGATGATCCTGTGCATATGAATTATTAAATGGTACATAAAAGTTGTTCTCAACACACCCTGCTCTATGATCAACCATTTTACAAATCTTGGAACATGGACCTTAAGGCTCCCACAGAGTATCATATTATTCAATGCACCAATTATTAGAATGCTACAGCAGAAATTTTAATGGGCAGTGGAGTGTTCTACAAGTGGGATAAAACCTCAATCAGATCAAATTGCAATTATGCAACAATAGTTTGGCAGCTAATGAAGCTTTTAATTTGGAATAATTATTGCATAACATAGATTGTATAGCACAGAAAAAAGGCAATGAGCCCAATAGTTTCACGTCAGTGTTTGTGTTCTAGACAAGCCTGCTCAAACCAGATCAGCCTTCAATTCCTTTATCCCTTGTGTGTAAGTCTACCTTACTCTTAAACACATCTATTCACTTCATCTCTGCCTTCTGGTAGTGCTTTTCACATTTTAATCACAGTGAGCAAAGAAATTCCTCCAATCTCAGCCCAGTTACGACAACTTGGAGTCTTTATTCTATAATGTAAATCAATATCTGAGAAATTTCAATGAGAATGGCACTTCTCAAGGGGTCTGCTAAATGTTTTGGTGTAATGCCCCTTTTTCCAGAAGATTTAAGGTGTGAATATTAAAGCAGGCAGCTCAGTGGATGCAGTACACTGGCATATCACACTGATACCGTGCACGGGCTGAGCATAGGAGAGTTCTTCATTACTCGAAACATGTTGCTTAGAGATTCTCAGGATGACTTCAGTATGCACTCAAAGCAAGGTTCCCTCACCACTTCACAGGGGAATGAGTCAGACATCAGCTTATCCATCATGAGCATTTTCAGAAGGCCAGTTCAAAAGCAATTCTGAGAGAGATCTTGGCCTTGGATTTGTGCCAAGTCAGGATGACTCAAAGCTCTTTAAAAATTATGGGAAAGTCCTGATGTCAGGATTCCTGAGCCTGTTCCAATTCTCAGGAGCACATTTTAAGCATGCAGGCTGTTTCAGGTCACAAGCCAACATGTGACACTCCCAACGTGGCCATTGCAGAGATTGGAGTGGCCTAATCCTCTGCAATTTGCACATAGCTGGGCCAGTTGTTTAAATGGTCACCACTCACGGCACCTCAGAGATGTTATGAACCACGGTGTGCATGAGGGAATCTTTTGAAAGGACAATTCAAAACATCCCCCCTCATGTCACCCATGCTGGGCTCTGCCCCTCCACTCAATCCCCTAGACTCCTCATACCCATTCATTCACTTTATTCAGTATAGAATCAATGAACCCTATTGAGACAATTGGATGGAAACTGAAGTTATAATTATCAACCATGTTAAAAACACCTCTATAGCCAAAAAAAGTCAATCATCTTTAAAGCTTCAATAAATGAAAATGCAAATCACTTGAAACATCAAACCTTGTAGAAATAAACGCTGTAAAATTGATGTGGAGGTGCTGGTGTTGAACTGGGTTGGACAAAGTCAGAAGTCATACGACACCAGGTTATAGTCCAATAGGACTATTTGAAATCACAAGCACCTGAGAAAGGGGCTGCGCTCTGAAAGCTTGTGATTTCAAATAAACGTGTTGGTCTATAACCTGGTGTTGTGTGACTTCTGACTTTGTCAAACTGATAGCAGAGATCAGGCTGTTCAAGCAGTCAATCAAGAAGGAGCTCAGGTGTTTCAACAGAATAATGGATTTCTGGGATCTCAGACCTGGCCACGAAACTATAAAAACCCATTTGGTTCACTAATCTCTTTCAGGGAAGGAAAGAGGTCATCCTAACCTGGTCTGGCCTTCATGTCGCTTCCAGACCCACAACAAGGTGGTTAACACTTAGCTGCTCTCAAGGGCAACTGGGATATCCAACTAATGATAACCTTGCCAGTGATGCTCATATCCTGCGAACAGTAGAAGGAATAAGTTTTGAAAACTGTGTTATAGTCAGGAATTCAGATTATGCAGCTTATGCCCAAGGTAAACGTGTGCATTTAATAACTGCTGGTCACTGAACCACAGCTCAGCAGTAAATGGTTGCAGCCTGATGAAAGCACATCATAACAGGTTTTCAATTTGTTTCTGAAAATAGTGGGTGGATAACTTGCTAAAGCCCAAACACTCTTTACCATGCTAATAATTCAGTGCTTTTTCTTTCCACACATCTAAAATAATAAGAAATGGCACATTCACCATGACAACAATGGTATGGGTGCAGCTATAACACTGGGTGGCATAGCTATGTGACATGAATTGCACAGCATAGAAAACAAAATCAAAAACTCAATCACAGTTTGTTCATCAGAATGAATTAATCATGAAGAAGTCATGCTTTATGGTTCCCTGCATTTAAATTTTTAATTTAAAAAAAAACTATTTCCAACTGGATACATTTCTATGTTTGCAAATTAATTTCCTAAGGTTACAAATAAGCTACAGATCAATCATAATGAACGATGAACGTATTAATAAACAATGCAATCATTAAGTAAAGCAGGTCTCACAGGACAGTATAATTTGTGATACGAGGTAAATTTATGATACAAGTATGTAATAGTGAAAAGCAAAATAATAAAATTGATTTTGGAACTTTAGTTTATGAGGCAAGGATTGTTTGATTAAAATGCAATTTCTAAGAAGACCATCAATTTAGGAATCTGTTTACTGTCTGAAATTCAGGCCATACAGATTTTAATCACAAACTTTTCTCAGTGTTAAAAAACTAATGTCTGATTCATAATAGTCTTCTGTCACAAAATAAACATAAAATGAAAAAATATACAATTTTTCTCAGAATATATTAAAGAGATGTGGTTAAAAAAAAAATTGCATTCAGATTCCATTTTAACAGTCAAATGCTAAACTAAATTTTTCTGCTGAAAAATGTGGGAAAAGAGGTGGATCATAAATTGCTAATGTCCAAGAACCTTTATTTTAAAGTGAGTTCTGTATACAATTTCATACATTAGCAATCATTTTAACTAAATGAGAAGCAAAGTTGATCCATGTATGTTTTCCAACATACAAAAAGTCAGCAAATTCTGTAAATTTTTTGTGTTTCAATTAGGGACCTGCTGTGGGATTGCTCACGTTATCTCAGATTTTCCATGTTTAAATGTTTCTCTCGTTTTGAAGGTAGGGAGAAAGTTTCTGCATGGTTCATACCAAAGAGCCATTCTGCTCTTCCTGTAAGCCCTTTTGATATTTAATCTCTTAGCATGAGCATGTAACTAACTCTAATTCTTCTGCCAACACCGTTAAAGCCATGCTGCCAAAATCTTCACAACTGCAACTCAGACAGAATCCAACTGTCCCAGCAGCTAATAGCTAAGCCTTGAACAAATGCCTCAGTTTGATGGCACTGTCATATAAACCAGAAAGATGCCAAGTTCAATTCCTGGTCTGCATCGAGTCAGCTAAACTCAGCCAGGGTGCCACGTCCTGTCCAGAAGCATGTCCCATCTATAATTTTAAAAACATGGAATGCAATGAGTTTGGAAATTTCCAGAACAAACTTTGCATTGAATTGAATGCTGACACATAACAATAAGCTATTATGGCCAACTCTGCTATAAAATCAGTCCAGGTAATATGAGAGCACTGGTCGATTGATTTCCCATGTAAGAAACTAACCTGGAAATGATAAGCAGGGCATTAAACAAAAGAGCATTTCAGCTTTAAGTATTCAAGTTTAGAAGGAGAAGAACAGGAGTACTTGGAATTAATGAGCTTACCCTATTAGTATTCCCTTTATCAACTGTGTAGCCTTAAACAAGCAGAACCAGTTTCTTGTTCTATTCCTTGCTGGTCTTGTCTACATTTTTTTTCTTATGAGTACAACAAATCCGTTGCATAAATCTATAAAGGATTACATGATCATTGGTGAATATCTCCATAACAACGAAGGCCTATTGTTATTGCTTTACATTGCAGTCAGGCCTCCTCTGTCCTTTGGGATATCAGGCCCAATGAAACGATTAGTTTCTAATTAATTATGCTTTCCATGTGTTCATATGGCCTCTCAAAGTGCTGTGTTGCATTTCTCTATGGCAATACATAATAACAAAACAGTGATTAAATTGTTAAAGGAGCAGGAAGGCTGACGTTT